TTCTGTCTCTCTCTGTCTCAAAAATAAATAAACTTTAAAAAAAACAATTAAAAAAAACCACAATGTGATTTAAAAATTTTTATTTTCAAGTTGTTTATTGAAAGTGTATTGCAATGCAATTCATTTTTTTAATGTTTATTTACTTTGAGAGACAGAGTGTATGCCCTCGCTAGTGGGGGAGGGGCAGAAAGATAAGGAGCTAGAGAATCCCAAGCAGGCTTGGAGCTGTCACCCCAGAGCCAGACACCCCAGACCCTGGGCTTGATCTAGGAAGTGTGACATTGTGACCTGTATGAGATCGTGACCTGAGGAGCCAAAATCAAACGTTGGAAGCTCAACTGACTGAGCTATGCTGGCATCCCACAATTAATTTTTGTATATTGATTTTATAACTTCCAATCTTGCTTAACTCATTTATTCTTTCTGCTAGTTTTAAAAAAATGTTTATTGTGAGAGAGAGGCAGAGAGCATGAGCAGGGGAGGGTCAGAGAGAGAGGGAGAGAATCTCAAGGAGGCTCTGTCAGAGCAGAGCCTGACATGGGGCTCCATCCTACAAACAGTGAGATCATGACCTGAGCTGAAATCGAGTCAGATGCTTAATTGACTGAGCTACCCAGGCGCCCTTATTCTTTATACTAGTTTTTTAACTCTTTGCAATAAGTAATGGGACGTCATGAAAATACACATTGTACTTTTTAGTATGTTAAAAGCTAGGTTATTTTTTAAATGCACTTAAGTATTTATTTTTTTTAATGTTTATTTATTTTTGAGAGACACGGAGTGTGAGCGGGGGAGGGGCAGAGAGGGAGGGAGACACAGAATCCGTAGCCGGCTCCAGGCTCTGAGCTTCCAGCCCAGAGCCCAGTGCGGGGCTCGCACTCACAAACTGCAAGATCATGACTTTGAGCTGAAGTCGGATGCTTAACTGACTGAGCCACCCAGGTGCCCCAACACTTAAGTATTTTTTAAATAAAAGTTTCCTGTTTCCCTTTTTTAAGGTGTAGTGATATTTCCCGTGAATGATAGAATCTTGTAAACAGTAATTCCAAGGTGTATGTATTTATATGTATTCACATATATATCTATAATTTATATATAAAGCCCAAGTACTAAACTATAAATTAACAACAAATAAATTTGTATTTCTCTGTTCTGACTACCTTGAACAAACAATATTTTTTGGAGTAACTATTGTATCTTTTAATTTTTTAAGGTGTTGATATATTTAAGGAGTACAAATTGGGATACCCGCATTGCAGCAGGACAGGCTGTTGAAGCTATAGTGAAAAATGTACCTGAGTGGAATCCAATACCAAGAACCAGACAAGGTGCTTTTAAGTGGTAAAAGTAGTTTGCAATAAAAATCTAACTGTAGAATTAATTATACTATACATTTTATATTTTAAAAATTACAGTTTTAATTTAAAGCCTTAATTTTCAGGTACAGCTTTGTCGGGAAATGACATTGAATAAGGTGATTTTCACCATGCTTTAAGATATTAGATAAATTATATTTTCATACATATTTTTAAGTTATTAATTCTATGCTTGATTTATGGAGATTATTGCTTCCCTCAAGGAATTTATGTCCTTAAAAAAAAAAAAAGGAAACCAAATCAGTGCAGTGTAAATATTTGAAAGTGTTTTCTCTTGTTACTGGGAGACTAGTGTAATTATTTTTTAAATTTAAGCACAGTTATATATGGATATTTGGAGGGGTCTTTAATTTCTTACGTGTCCTTTAGATATCTTGTAGTGGAAATTATTTTTCTGACTGCCTGCAATGATAGTTAAAAATGAATGTATGCTTTTAAAAATTTGTATGGCACAAAAATAGACACATAGACCAATGGAATAGAATAGAGAC